GTTATGATGCGTCATTGTTCCGTTAGGTCTCTCTGTTTTAGGGCTGATCATAACATTAAACTCTGGTTGAATTGTTTCGTTTGCGAGGTCGCAAGAAGAGGAGAAATATCGAATACAAGAAGTTTGAAGAAATTTGTTAAAATATCTTCTGTAATATCGATTTTATTAAAATCTAGATCAACGTCCCCAGCAATGGATTGAGAGAATTTGGCAGAAGTGGAAGTATATACTGTGTCTTGTGTATTTGATTTAGATTCAATTGAGTCACCGAAGTCAGTTTTATAAAGATTTTCTGTTGTAAACTTATTGCCTAAGGAATCCGAGTTCATTACCCTTACCAAAGATCGCACTTTAAATCCCGGACGAGCCCCCAATTTTCATGTTCTGTTACGTCCAAGCCCAAGATTCTTTTATTTCATTGGAAAGAAGGAATTAGAAGTGGGCTAAGGAAGGACGTAACTGATACCGCTCTTATGGTTATCGCTCAGAGACAGGTGCCACAAGTAGAAAGCACTTGATTAGATCCAGATATGGATCAACGTCGATACGCGATGCTATTACTCAATCCGAGATTGTGCATCCGTCGGTCCTCTTTTAGGTCAAGAAACATAATCCTTTTGACCAGATTGAATCCGTACGATCTGTGTTAAAACACAGCGAATCGGAAGGGCAGCGAAAATGAAATTTAAGCAATCATTTAGAAATATTCATATATAATTTTTCTATAATTCTATTTATTATTTTTCTCTTAAGTAAAGTTGGACACAATGTATGCGTGTACATATAGAATTATGTACATTAATGTATGGAATTTACAATAATATAAAAGTATATATATGAAGAGTAAGTACCGTGTGTGTGATAGACATTTTGTTTTTACAAAAATCGGTACTAGAGACAAATATAATAGATCTCTGTGTAAGTATGTGCGTGTATTAAAGGGAAGTAGAGGAACTTCTTATAGGTTCGATGAGATGTTTATGAGATGGTAACGTTTCTAAGTTGGTAACGAGCTTGAGAAAAGATGAATTGTCCGGTCTGTATCCGAGTAATAATCGAGATGCTAGCCTTTCTAAGTTTTTCAAACTTGGCCCGCTTCTTGTATCCTGTTCTGTGTTTATTTCGCCAAATCATCTATTTTTTCTCGTTAGTATCCATGATGGCTAATTAGAAGAACGTAGAAGGAGAAAATAATTCCGAAAAGATGGATTTTCCAGGAGTTAAGATCTGGCTCTAGGAAGAGTAATCGTGGATTACTTAAGGCGTTTTATCGCTTAAATAACTTTGAATAAAGAAAAGAAGAATTACTTGAAGCATTTTACCGCTTAAGTATTTCTAAGTAGAGAAAGAGGTGAATTACCTGAAGCGTTTTATCGCTTAAGTAACTTTGAATAAGAAAAAGAAAAATTGCTTGAAGAGTTTTACCGCTTAAGAAATTCTGAGTAGAGAAAGTAGTGAATTACCTGAAGCGTTTTTATCGCTTAAATCAGTGGTCGGAATTAGTTGCTCATTTTCGATTCCCGAAGTGACGTCTATTGTTCCTCCACTATCGCTCGCTGCTCGACAGTCGAGCCGCCGATCACGCGGCTAGCGCTATGTTTTAGGAATGTCCCTTAGTGAAAAATACGCTGGTAATTTTAGGAAAAACTTGTAAAAAATTTTACTTTTAATATAATTTTTATAATGACAATAGTGTACGATTATTAGAATTTAGATAAGTTTTCCACATCATCTTTGAGATATTATTGCAGATGTGTTTTTTTTTTTAAGTGGTTTCCCCAATAGGTCTAATCCACTAAAAAAATCGATAAAAATAAACTATACGACTTAAGAGTAAAACATTTGATTAAATACAAAAAAAGGGAGATTCGACTAATTTTCTAAGTAGTTAATTTGATCTTCTAGGTCGTTTGCATGGTATTAAAGACGATATATCCACAAGGATTATAAATGAATTAATTCGCATCAACGAAGACAATGATGCATCGTTTAGACGAGAGCGTTTTTATAAACTTTATTTTAGAGAAGGAACATTCGTAAGATATGTAGACTCAAACAAAAAAAATTTAAAGACCAAAATTTCTTAAGTCGTGGATAACGCGATACATCTAAAATTTTGAAGAACTCGATTTTTTTGTCGTGTTTTAATAGAAATATCACATTGCAAATCGCAAAGTTCTTTCTGAAATTCTTTTTAGACTTTGTTCCTCAATTTGTACTGTGAGAGAATTTTCAAAAAGAATGAAATCTTGTTTTAACGTTTTGAAATCATTGAAACGCGCATTAAATTGATTTATTAAAGATTCAATTATATTAAATTTTTTGAAATTATACTTTTTACCGTGTTCTTTAGAAAGAATCTGGCAGAAGCGGAAAAAATGAAGATTATTATTTTCTAAATGATTTTTAAATAATGTTAGCTTTCTGTAGAAGAAGTCGATATGACTAACGAGTTCCGAATTGGTTTTGTTAGTTTTTTGCAGCTTTAAATTTAAAATATTTAAATGATTTGTTATATCAGTTAGAGCAAGCTTACAAAATGAATCTAAATCTTCAAAGAAACATTTAAATTTATTATATTCAGCAGGCACCTAATCTTGCAAAAAAAGAAAGATCTCTTTTCTTACTGTAAAGAATTTTTCTTAACATTTTCCTGCGCTGAATCCCATCGAATTTTACAACACAGGGGCACATCTGTGTAAATAGCGTTATGCTCCCCGAGAAAGTTTTGAAATTTCCGATAAGAAAGGAATTTTTTAATCGTCTTTAATTATGTTGATAATTTTTGTGACATTTGACATTGCAATGCATAATTTTACAACTTTTTCGTATAACGCTTTTTGATGTATGATGCAATGAACAACAGGGAATTTTAAATCTCGCTGCTTTATTAGACCGAAGAATCCATTTTTCGAACCTATCATTATCTTTGCATCGGTTACAATAGCCAAACACTTCGAAAAATCTATATCCAATTTTTGAATATTTTGATTAAGTACTTCGAAAATATCAATCCCTCTTGTTGTATTATGCAATGGCATTAAATCTAAAAGTTCCTCGATATATGAGAAATCGTTTTGCATGATTCGAGCAAAAATATTCAATTGACTCACATGCCGATTATTTGTGCTTCCATCGAGATATAATGAGAAGAAAGAGCAAAATGCTAATAAAGATTTTAATTTTTTTCTAAAGAAGAAGCAATGTCATCGATTCTTGATTTTACAGTTTTGTCACTTAATGGAATACTGGAATACTAGCTTCTACAGGAGTTATAGAATTTCCGAACGACTCTACTGCAATAAGGCATTCTTTTACAAATTTTTCATCACTGAACGGTTTTAAATTTTTCGCAACTAAATTCAAAATTGACGAATTAAGAACTTGTTTTGAAGGTGTAGCATTATCCCACGCGATAAAAGAACTCAAACTATAACCTTATTGATGAACTAATTTTAATCCCTCAATCAAATCGAATTTGTTCTTGTCCATATATTTTGAATATTCAAAATTCTTGAATGTTTGATATTATAATGTCTATGAAGATTGTATTTTTTTATGACAGATGGTTGATAACTACGAAAAGCAGATGATTTTATTATGAATAGATGCAAAAAAAATTCTTCCTACGCCTTATTAAAAGATTGCACGTTCTATCCATTTTCTAAACGCATTTAGTAATAATATTAAACCAGAAGGAAAGAAATAATATTCACAAGTTTTATACTTGTGATTTCTTTTTATAATAGTAAATATTTTGCTTGTATTGTGAAACGCAGCACTATCACATGTAACTCTATCATACGTAAAATTATCGCACATAGCACTATCATACATAGAACTATCATACGTAGCACAATCACATGTAATACTAATATTATTACCACACTAATAGTACCTTCTATTTTTAATTTATATAAATTTATATAAATTTACAATACGAATCCCCAAAACTCTATATTTCTATAATCTCAATCTCATAAAATCTTTAACATACATGTCGTATTATTAGCAAACGACCTTTGAAAAACAGAGAAAGAGAAAAAACAATTGTATATCAGCACGTAGTAGGAGTATGTGCATATATAATAGAACCGCGAGATTTAAAAATCTATTATAGATATTTAAATCTCTCGATTTTATTATATAGTTTTATATCATTTATAATAAATTGTTTCTCAATGATTTTTTGGTAGAGAAACGTGTACATTAAAAGTTTTATGCAAAATTATAAAATTTTGGGAATTCACACTGTGTGTAAAAAAGGAACTACTGTTACTAATAGTGTTTGTGATAATACTATATATGATAGTGTTACGCGTATGATAGTTACATGTGATAATGCAACGTTTCATAATACTACATATAAAAATACAAACAAAGTAATAGTGAATATTATTTACTTGTGAATATTATTTCCTTCTTTTTATAATATCTATGTTTAATTAAATGTTTTGTATTAGAATATTTTATTTTCAAGCCATATATTTTATCATCTTCGATTTTTTTAGTGGAATAGATATACGGGGGAAATCAATAAAAAAAAACGCATCTGCAGTAGTACCTCAAATGTGAAAAAATATCTTAATTCTAATTATCGTACATTATTGTCATTTTTGCAAAAAATATATATCTAAATATTAGAAAATTTTATTTATAAAAATTATGTTAAAAGTGAAATTTTTTACAAGTTTCTCTTAAAGATACGCTATTAGCGTATTTTTCATTAAAAAACACTCCTGAGGCAACGCGTGATCGACGACTCGAGGGGCGAGCGATAGTGGAGAAACAATGGGCGTTACTTCGGGAATCGGTCCGAAATGAGTAACTATGAGTAATTCCGATCACTGGCTTAAGTAATTCGTTAGGAAAAAAGATAGGCTGTATTTGCGATTCAAGAGAGAAGAGATTGAAAAGAAATAAGAGAGCGAGAGAATATTGATTGTCATATAACTTTAAAATTAATTTAACACGAGAAAGGAAAAAAAATTTGTTCTTACTATTCGCTGGAGGTAGTGGCGAACTATAGCGGGAATCCTCGGTGATGTCTCAGTGATGTTCCAGTAATGCCTCTTATCCAAGGGTGAAAGATCTTCAAACGTAAACTACTAATTTTTTTAATTGCACTGACAATGAGCCGAGAACTCCGCACTTAGAACAACTAAATCCGTCGACTAATCAAAAAATTTTCTATAACTGACTTTCCAAAGGGCCATATATATATATATATATATATATATATGTACTAGTCGGATAACGTGTTTAATAAGTGAATATCGAGCGTAGAATGTAAATACAATGATTTTTGCCAACTCTCGCAACAGTAACTCTCAATACTCGCTCGCTCCAAACGCTCATTACTCAACGCCCGCTACAACGTCTCTCTCTGCTTCTTCTTCTTCGCTCGCGCAGACGCGCACGCGTATTCCTATATTCTTACGCCTATGTAGCAGCATGCAATGCTGCTATCCACGCTCGGGTTAGCATGGGTTTTTTAGCTCTCACACGTCTGTTATTTTAATTTTTATATGTATGTATATATATATCAGTAATATATTAAATTAGTTATTTTCGTAGCCCTTCTTAATATACTCTCATTTAATTACTTTTATTACTTGAGCCACATTAAATCATGTATATAAAAATAAGTTTTATGAATAAGTTTTATAAGTTATATTTAAAACTTTTAAAATTATACTCAAAACTTCAAATTTTAATTAGGTACTTTTGTATAATTGATTTGAGAAAACTGATTCAATAATAATTTATATACCTATGTTTATATCTATTAAACTGATTTTATATCATTCTACATCACGAATTATCGCGTCCGTAAATTTGGAAAATTCTTTTCTATATAAAACTATTTGTTTCCGAGTTTTTTCTCCCGACAGCGCGTTGTTTACATGCTGTGGCGTTAAAATAAATTCCGTCGTTTCGAACGTTACGATATTGCCGTCTCCTTTCTAAAGTTTAATGATTGAGGTCTGATCATATCCAACTCATCATAACGCGGAGTGTGAAAATATTATATGTGAAAGATTCCTTTTCGTTTGCATGTATATAGCTGGAAAAAAATATATAAAGCTGATATTTTCAAATTATGATTCCCATTTTATATAATTCCCATTTATGATTACTGTCGAAAAAGTATAATCAAAAAGTATAATCAGTAAATTTAGAAGATCATTCCCAAGCAACACAAAGTCCAAAATCAAAACATAAGACGTCTTAAAAACGTCTAAAAGATATTCTTGTGAGAATCGTCTAAAAGATATCTTAAAAACATTTTATGTTCGATTTTAGATATTGGATCTAACTAAATTTGTTTTTTATTTTTCTTTTGTGCGATGAAACCAAATGTATGAATATACTAAGCTCAACTTTCATTTGAAACAAATATTGTACGCTCAATGCTCGTAAAATCGAACAACACGTCGGCTATTCATACTGACATACCTCATTTCTTTAACCCATTCATGTCTTTACCCCAGTCTATCCTTTTACTTTTTTTCCATGTCGCGCCATAAACCTCCTGACGTATTTAGGAAATAAGTCCCGTGTGCAAAACACGGCGGAGGAACTCGGTGCTTTCAGGAGAGTGTTTCCAGCAGGAGAGGGCAATAAGCTTCGGTGCGATGTAAAGTCCCGAGGGCTAATAATATTCCAGAAGCGTATACAGAAGTTTGTAAGACTCGAATACACGGTGTCAATGATCTCGGCGCAGTAGACAAAAGATTCGTGTGTCGGCGACATATTCATTGTAATATTTGTGAAAAATGTCAAAAGGATACATGCAATCGTAACTCGCATCTTGAAAGGATCTTCCCGCAATCTCCCTGTCTTTCGCAGAGTCGTCACACTTCAATGATTTATTTTGACACCGGCAAAATAAGACAGAAAAATATGAGACCCTTTTACTAGTTATTTTCGCAATATTTGTCGCTTAAATTTAGTTCACGTGTAAACAATCTTGTGATTTAATAAATTTTTTATAAGTACGTGATTTACTAAGAGTTAAAAAAAAATGCGTCTTCGCAATGGTGAGTTTGTCATCAAAGAAATTACAATCTGTACTTATACAACTCACAAAATATTCGTACATACTTACACAAAGCATATGACAAACAGGTATATTCGCGCATGTATTTCGTCTAAAAAAAAACTGAGAAGGAAAATTTTTTGCAAACGCTTTAAGCGAAGCTTTCGCAGCAAAGAGCAGCTTCCTTTGCGTATTTACATGAAAAGAAAGTATTCAAATACAATGCAAACATGTTATATATGCAACACGACACTCGGATTTAAAGATGCACATTTGTCAACAAGAAATTTTTATTTCATTAACCTTTTGAAGCATATCAGCATACATTTTTCTTTTTAAACTTTTTCTGTATATCATGGGAAGAATATTTATTATGAGAATAAGATTTATCATTCTAATTTAAAAGAATATTTTATTTTGATTATTCATTTTTTTCCTTTATTAATATATTTATTAAATTTAATTATATTTATGTAATAAGTATAAAAAATGGGTAGGTGTAAGTTTAAAAAGTAATGGGATAATTTAATTTAAGATTCATTAATTATAGAGGTGTGTTGTGTTGAGGGTAAAATTATATAAAAATAAAATGTTGTTTATAAATAAAATATTAATATTAATATAATAATATTATTTGTAATGATATATTATGTTATGTAATGGGGATTAAAAAAGTTTTATTTAGATAGTTTTTTTCTATGTGAAATTTAGTATACGGGGGTCGTTTTTCAGGGGGGTCGCTGATTACAAAGTCAAAATATAAAAATATTGCATCCAAAATGGCGGATTCAAAATGATGGATTGAAAATTTTTAATTAAAATTAAATTGTGTATGAAATTCGAATTCTAAGACTTTGAAGGTTTTTAATTATGAATTAGAGATTCATCTGAAATGGATTTTTGGAAGAATTTTGGATGAATGAATTTTAGAAGGATTTTTGAAAATTATAAAACTCATCCGGGTGAAATTGGCCTCCTTACTTTTGAAAAAATTAAGTTCGTATAGCTCATTCGATTGCCCATCGTTTGCCCACGATTGCCCCGTTGGAATTTTCGTTTGCCCCTTCTAGTTTAAAAGTTACAGAAAAATCAATTTTTGAGGGGCTAACACTTCACACTAGCCCCCCAATATTGAAAAATCCAAATTTTTTTTGCAAACGTTTATCCATCGTTTGCCCACGAATGCCTCATTGAAATTTTCATTTGCTCCCCTCTAGTTTAAAAGTTATAGACAAATCGATTACAAAAAACAATCGACAACAAAAAATAATAACATATCCTACCCGCTTGGGGCCTAATCGCTTAGAAGCTGCAGCGTAGACAGTGTCCGCTTGGAATATTTCTAACAAGTAAGACAATAAAAAAACCGCTCTAAAAGACTATTCTCACACCCTACTTAATGGATTAGAAATATTCAAAGCGAACACTATATCTACGCTGCGACTTCTAAGCAGTTAGGCCCCAAGCAAGTACGATATGTTATTTTTATTTTGTTCGGGATGGCATAGTCAATAAGCACTAGTCTATACACCCCACTGTCTACACGACAGATTTTCTAACTTTAACAACAATAGTACAATTATAGAAGTGCGCCCCATTGTAAAGGGGGAGAGAGAGCGAAAGTCGCTTCGCGTGGAAAGTCGAAACCCATGTAGAACAATACAATTATAGATCTCATTTTCCTAACTTCAATAGTCATCAACTTTAACTCTTAATATCTCGATTCTCAAGGCAGAGCGATACTTTTTTCTGAAGTATTGAGATGTATTCATTACCTTTTAGTTACCTATTTGATCACAAGCTTCCCTTAATCGATTTGTCTATAACTTTTAAATTAGAGGAGGGCAAACAAAAATTCCAACGGGGCATTCGTGGGCAAACGTTCGCAAAAAAATTTTGGATTTTTCAATTTTTAGTGTGAAGTTAGCTTTCCCAAAATTGATTTTTCTGTAACTTTTAAACTAGAAGGGAGCAAATGAAAATTCCAATGGGGCATTTGTGAGCAAACGATGAGCAATCGAATAAGTTATACAAACTTAATTTTTTCAAAAGTCGGGGAGGCCAACTTCACACGAGTATAAAACTTAATTTATGCATTTCGCTTCCGTTATTTTGAATCAATAATTTTGAAAATCTAGCATCAGATTAGTAATTAGCGACCACAAAAATTCCCTAAGACACTAAGTTTCAAGTTAAAATGTTAAAAAACGTGAGCAAAAATGAATTTGTCCGAAAAAAGTTTTTTATCTTTGTTTATTTATAAAACTCTTACAATAAATAATAAAGACTACTAAACTATTTTTTTAATAATCTTATACTTCTACGATACCAGAAAAACACAAAAAACCAGAATGCGTCAATTAAAAAATAATCAAAAATTAAAGAAGTTTAGGTAGTAACCTAAGTTACCACCTAAAAAAACTAAAGAAGTTTAGGTGGTAACTTGGGTTACCATTGCATTTGTTATTTCATATTAGGAATACCCTGAATATCTTTTATTACGATTTCCATGCCTTATGGTTTTATGATCATCAAATCTAATTTCTGTAATTAAATAATTAATCTTAAATAATTCAACATATCCCATATTTTTCTATTAGTACGACCTTACTTTATCACTACATAAAGAATTTATTGCCAAATATTTATTTATTAAGTAACAAATAAGGTTTAAATGCTCATCTCAATGAAACTTGAAAACATCCAGATTCTAAAAATCTTGTTTTACAATGACTACAGATAATAATAAATTTTCTATTAAATAGTTTTCAATCCAAGAACAATAAATTCATAGTGGAACCAATAAATAGCATTTATTAGCTTAGCAGAAATGTCGCTATCTCATATTAGGCGTCTATCTCATAATAGAGGGCTTTCCGCTAATAACAATAAATTGAACGCAATGCGTGTGTACGTGATGATTTGATTTTTTCTTCCATAGATAAGATAGAAGTTCACATTGAAAAAGGACTCCGCACTAATTATATTTATAACAAATTGAGTCTCAGTGAAATGAATTAGTTTTCACATCAATTTATGATGAACATATAACGAACAAAAAAGATGTCTTAGGCTAGTATTCATAGTCACCTTATATGTAAGACCGTCCTAAGTATAAT